TCCCCGTGCTCCGGTATCTTCCCAGCCGCACCATGGAGCTCTTCAAGGACATCAACAGGCGTTTCAGCTTCTTTGTGCAAAAAATTGTCCAGGAGCATTACACCAGCTTTGATAAGGTAAGAGCTTGGATGCTCTTGGATGAAGGTGGAGATGCCTACAATTGTCTGCCTGCCTGGCCGTGGGGAGAAGAGGGTACTCCCCTGTTCCCCCACCTCTGCCCAGGAAAGCTCCTTGGAGCTCTCCAGTCTGTAGTTAATCCTCCCAAGGAGCTGGCACTGGCTGCAGGAGGTTTCCCCAGCCTGGGGTGTCCATGATGTCCCTGACCCACTGGCTCTTCCCCAGGAGCACATCCGGGACATCACGGACTCGCTGATTGAGCACTGCAAGGAGAAGAGCGTAGGGGAGGATGCCCACGTCCCGCTCTCCAATGAGAAGATCATCAATATCGTCAACGACCTCTTTGGGGCAGGTGAGAACATTTCTGAGGGTAAAGCCTCTCTGCTGGGAGGCTGGGTGGGGGAACCGGGGCCGTCGGGGTGAGACCTTGGCCATGCTTGGGTGTTTGGAGCTGCTGCTGGGCTCATGGGCGCTCTCCTGAGCAGTGACCAGAGCAGATGGCTTTTCAGTGACAGCTGATGGGGAACTGCTCTATGGCTAACATCTAGAGTGATAGGGTCTGTAAATACCTGCTCGCCTGTCTTCTTTTGGTAGCTAAAAGCCTTTTTCATGTCCATCCAGGCTTCGACACTGTGGCAACTGCCTTATCCTGGAGCCTCATGTACGTCGCCTTGTACCCCGACATCCAGAAGAAGATCCAGGAAGAACTAGGTGAGTCCATGAGCCCGCTGCCTCCGGGGCCAAAACCTCTCTGGCGAGGGCTGACCCCAACCCGCTCCCTCCTCTCGACCTCCCGCAGACCAGACCATCGGCCGGGAGAGGAGACCGCGGCTGTCGGACCGAGGCACGCTGCCCTACACAGAAGCCTTTATCCTGGAGATGTTCAGGCACTCCTCCTTCCTGCCCTTCACCATCCCGCACAGGTAAGGCTGGAGCAGCTCACATGTTATTCGGGGTTTTTTTGGGGTGGTTTTCTGGGAGGTGCCATTTAGGCCTGGGAATCGATCCCTGCTGTGGGGAAATCGCTTTGAGGGCAGTTTCACTCCAGACCCTTTGGTACGGGAGGGATGGTGGGTCATGGCTTACACCCCTGGGTTTATGTTTCCCCTTGCCTTGGGAGAAAACCACATCACAACTCATCCAGCTTCCTGAAACTGGAATCTTTCTGCTTGAGGAAAAGTTTTAACCTAGACTATTTAGTCTCCCAAATTGGGGTATTTCCTAGCCAGTCCTAAGAGTACAAATAGGGCATTGAAAATGAAACACCTCTAGGACATGAAGCTGTGGGTCTCCTCTTAACTTCTCTTCCCCTCCATCGCATTTTTTTCAGTACGACCAAAGCGACGGTGTTGAATGGCTTTTACATCCCCAAGGATACCTGCGTGTTTATCAACCAGTGGCAAGTGAATCACGATGAGTGAGTATACCAAATCCCCCGTGCTTATCCAGGCTGTGATGGCTTTGCTCGGCATTAAGATCGCTCTGATCCTGTAGAGCAACATCCCAAAAGCCAAATGGGTCGAGAAGGCAGGAAAAGGCAGATTGAACCAAAAATTGCGTGGGTTTGATGCTGAGCCCAGTCTTGACTCTCCTGGGCATGGAGCTGCTCTGGGTTGACTTGGTCTCTGGTTCAGCAACTCCCCAACACCAGGGCTTACCCAATTCATGTGCAGTAATGTGGTGATGTCCTCAACGCACTGGACTTTCCATGTACGTGCGAGGGTTGCAGCTTGGGCTGCTGAATAATCAGGAATCGGTACGTCCTCCTGCCAAGCAGCCCTTGTGATCCGGGTTGACGGCTCTGGATGTGCTCAACGGGAACCGCCTGGTTCCCTCTTTCAGGGAGAAAAATATCCTGACGTGGCTCTCATTCAACTCAATAGGCTCGGGTCATTATTGCTGATAATCAGCTTTGGTGAATGAAAGGGGATCTGGAAACCAAAGCCCCATCTTACCCCTCCACTGCTTTCCAGTAGAGACCCTCCCGGGGGGCGTAGGTTGACTAAAGATTGACACAGAAGGTGGTTCCCAGATCAGGTATTTTGGATCAGAGCTCAAGACCTTTGCATCCAAATAGCCCAATGACGCAGAAATATTGCAATATTCCTTCTGCTCCTGCATACGCTGGTGAGCATTGCAATGGGAAGCCTGTCTTTAGGGCCAGAGAGAATTCCCCATATCCAAGCAGAAACTCTCATCTAAGGCACTGGAAAATCCCACGTGGCACTTCCCACGCTGGGAAGTTTTGCTGGGAGGATTCAAGGTGGGAAAACCCTCAGGTCTCCATCCTTCCTTTTTAAGAGGTGCTGACTGATTTCTGTGCACAGATTTTCTTTTTCTCCTTTCAGCTGACAGGGCAGGACCTCTAGATATTACAGGCTGAATTAAATCCAGCCCCGGTATCTGCACAGGCAAACACAAATCTGAGTTTGAAATAGAGGTTTCAATAGACTGAGTTGATGGGGTCTGACACACAGCTGGCATTTTAGATCAGGGATAGAGGTTGCCAAAGTTTTTGGATGGTGAAATGAGAAAGTATTGCAATGCTTCTCTCTGCGAGGAGTTTTTTGACTGCTGTCCCCATCACGGTGGGTGAAAACGGCTTCCTCAGGTGTGTCTCCTTTCTGCTCCAGGAAGCTTTGGAAGGACCCCTCAACCTTCAACCCCGAGCGGTTCCTCAATGCCACGGGGACCGAAATAAGCAGGACAGAGAGCGACAAAATGATGGTTTTCGGTTTGGGGAAGAGGCGATGCATTGGGGAGTCCATCGGCCGGTGGGAGATCTTCCTCTTCTTGGCCACCATGCTGCAGCAGCTGGAGTTCAGCCTCCGCCCCGGGGAGGAGGTGGACATCACTCCTCAGTACGGATTGACAATGAAATACAAGAAGTGTGAGTGCTTCCAGATTAAGAAGCGTTTTCCCATGAAGAACTCTCCATAAGCCGTGGGAGGAAGCATCACTTTGCAGAAGAAAGCCAGCCCTTGGAGTCAGACACTCAGCCTGCTTTTGCTAATGCTCTCTAGAAGCCAACACAGCCCCTCACTGTGTTGCTTCACTGGAGGCTTGTTCAGCTCATGTCAATGCGAGCAGGGAGGGATAGAGCCGGCTTTGTGGGGCTCCTCGCAGCCCCCCTAGCCAGCTCCATCGCCCTTGCCTGCAGAAAAGCTCACCAGAGCTCCAGCCCGCTCATCCCTCCCGGGGAGGTCCAGGGGGACCGCAGCCCTGCGGCGGGGAGAAGGATGCTTTGGGCTGGGAGAAGAGGTGTGGGATGTCGGTAGGGGTGTCCTCGCCCTGCCCGGTGTCGCAGGCAGAGCTGGAGCCACCGTGGGCAGCTCCCTTCATCCACCGAATAGGAATAAACCTGCAGGTTCCTCCCTGAGAAACCTTCTCCCACGGGGTGGAAGTCTTTCAAGCCTTCAGCTCCTTGTGCCAGTGGGGACGGGCTCTCCCCGCTGCTCCAGCCGCCTGCTGAAGGGCTCTCGGGGCGATGCAGGTGCCAGACCTACGCCTGCACCAGCACCCGTCTCGAGTGGACCCGTTCTGGGTGCACCCTCGCACAGACAAATTCCCTGAATGTAAATTCACGAAATGAATCCCTGAGTGTTTCTACCAGTCCTTGGTGACACCCTACTAGAAAAGAAATAAAATATATATATGCATAAGTAGTGCTGTTCACAAATTGAGATATTAGCTAAACTCCTAACAAGAAGCCTCCTGGAAAATATCAAAGGACTGGGAATAAGGGACAAGAAGCAGTAAGAGGCACTTCTGGCTTTCAGACTATGTATTTGCTGCTTTTTTTTTAACCATTTTTTTTTTTTTTAGCAAGCAATAGATTCTATATTCAGGCTAACAAAAGGAGCAAGGGTTTGAGGACTGCAGGCGATGCGCTGCCTTATGTTGCAATCTGCTTTAGCCAGCGTGAAGGTGAATTCTCATGGCAAACGGAGCAGCGATTCCTGCTTGTTTGTACCTGTGTGGAATGCATCCATATGCTGGGATATAAACTGCACAGTATTTCTAACCCAATAAATACTTACAGGAAAGTTTCTTAAGTTTCTTGCTGGTCTTATTCCACTGGGAAAAAATTTTTTTTTGGGGGGGGGGGAAGAAACCCCCACACCTCTCGATCACCCTTAAAAATCTGACTTGGATATGTTGGATCAGGGTTTTTCCTATGAGGACGTGAGCCAGCTGTTCCTTTACTGTCCGGGTTGTGACACCAGTGGCATTAGGGGGAGTTTTTAGTCCTCATGGGTGCTGGCTCTGGTCCTCTCCCTGGGTATATAGAGAAGCTAAAGCCTCAGCTGGGATTGGTGGAGAGGTGATGCCAAGCTCCAGCTCAGGTCAGGATTTCACTAAAAATCAGGACTAGCCCTTCTATCCCTGAAAAAAATGAATCAATAGCTTGAAAACAGCCTTTCACAACCCTCAGGGAGGCGATCCACGGAGGGATGCCTCAAGCCATCGCCTGCTCCGTGCTTTCCCGTCTCACAGCATGATTATTTCCGAGGCTTTGTATAACTTCCCTTAAAAAAAAAAAGGCAATAAACGTCAAATTGCCATGCAAATAATAAGGGAGTATATGGAAAATTGGGGTCTGTGCATACCTGAAGTGGCATCCCTGCAGGGACCAGTCCTCTGGGGTTTCCAGCTCGGAGGGGTAGGAAAGCGCTCTTGTCCCCCAGGCACATTTTCATGAGGCACAAATGTTTAGCCAAGCACTCGAACGGGGGTATAATATCGGGAATCGGGGCAAAATTCAGTCTTCTGCTGAAAAGCGTGCTCCTCCCCTGGGATGGAGTCCTGGGATGCTCTGTGGGGTGAGCTACTCTCGCCCCACACGGGGATAAAATCAAAGTAAGTGCAGAAAGGTTAATGTTTGACTCCATCCGTCACTGGGACATAAAGGACAGCCGAATAATTCAGTGGCTTTTTTGATGGTGCCACCCGTTGTACCATGGAGTTATTTTTAATTTTGTGGCTGTGCCGAGGAAAGGCTGCTCTGGAGAAGAGGAGTCTTCCTCCCACCCTGACTTTGCTCGCCTTCACGTTATTGTTACCGACTGCTATCGTAATGATTTTGTTTTTAATTAGCGTCCCTGGCACAGCCTGCCATTTAGCTCGGGAAGGTCAGCCGGTGCACGGATCCAGCACCCCACCCGCTCCTTCCTCCGAGTAACGAGCAAAACAGCCTCCAGCTTCGGATTTTAATGGATCCAAGGAGAAAGCAGGAGATGGTCCGTGCCTCCGCTGGTGAGTCAGAGGGAAGTGATGGAGGTGTTGGAGGTGTCACTGAGGTGATGAAGGTATGATGAAGGTGATGAAGGTGATGGAGGTGACGGAGGTGATGGAGGGGTGATGGAGGTGATGGAGATGTGATGGAGGTGATGGAGGTGTGATGGAGGTGATGAAGGTATGATGAAGGTGATGAAGGTGATGGAGGTGACGGAGGTGATGGAGGGGTGATGGAGGTGATGGAGATGTGATGGAGGTGATGGAGGTGATCGAGATGTGATGGAGGTGTGACGGAGGGGTGATGAAGGTGATGGAGGTGTGATGGAGGTGTCATGGAGGTGATGGAGATGTGATGGAGGTGTGATGGAGATGTGATGGAGGTGATGGAGGTGATGGAGGTGTGATGGAGGTGATGAAGGTGTGACGAAGGTGATGGAGGTGATGGAGGTGTGATGGAGGTGATGGAGGTGTGATGGAGGTGATGGAGGTGTGATGGAGGTGACGGATTCATGATGGAGGACATGTGACAGCGTTGATAGAGGGGTGACAGAAGTCACAGAGGCAATGGAGGTGTGATGGAGGCGGTGGAGACATGACGGATGCCATGGAGGTGAGGGAGGACATGTGACAGCGTTGATAGAGGGGTGACAGAAGTCACAGAGGCAATGGAGGTGTGATGGAGGCGGTGGAGACATGACGGATGCCATGGAGGTGAGGGAGGACATGTGACAGCGGTGACAGAGGGGAGATGGAGACAATGGCGTTGTGGCGGGCATGTAACAGCGGTCATGGAGGTGGGATGGAAATGGCGGATGCGTGATGGCGGTGATGGAGGTGTGACAACCTCGGAGCACTCAAGACGGGGTGCCGGAGGCGCAGGAGGGCGGGAGGCTGCGGTGATGGGGGTGCAGTGGGGTGGCATCGCGGCGGGCCCGTACCGCGCATGCGCCCGGCGGTGCTCGGCGCTGCACACGGGG